GCCTGTGCCATGGTGCATAGTTTGGGAAATGTAATTCTTCCTAGCAAGAATTGTTTTCATAGTCTGAAGGAAAGTTAAAAGCATTTTGAGGACTGAAAAAGACGTCGCATAAAGTCAAAATTTGACACTTCAGTAAGAATGTTTCAGCCAAGCCAAAATAAAGCAACACTTAGCTGGAAACCATATGGTCCAGGGTAAGGGATTCTGTGGTAGGCTTTCATACCCCAAAAAATTTCTGTGGCACCTTCCAGGGGAAGATGTCTGTATTCTGGGATCTGACTTAACGAAGCAGCTGAATTGCAGCTACATTTGCAAGTAAGGTAGACCGAGGGACTGTGAAATAGAGACACCACAGCAATTACTGCTTCACAGCCTCAGAAGGTGGTGTGTTAACTTCAGTGCATATGAAAGGCTGTGTGTTGGGAAAGTCTTTGCAAATTTTCACATTGTTCAAGAGGTCAGAATGTCTACACTGAAGAATCAGTGAGACTTTTATGTTTCAAGATAAGGTTTGTTACACGCTTAATTACATTCTCACTCAAGGTAACGTACTCATTGCTATGTGTGCTTCCAGTCCTTTCTTTGTCTGGTATGTCCCAGGCTTTTAGATGAAGCTATGCAGTGACTATTTTCACTTTAAACTGCTTAGCACGTCAGTTGGATTAATCTGCAAAACTTGAAGTTTAATAGTGACTATTGTTTAATTGGAAATCTAATATTGTGGTTTGGAATAGCTACATTTCTGGGAAATATGAAAATACTATGCTAGAACCAGGCTTCAGAAACATAGTGCCTCATTATGTCTTTTATATATTTGTATGATTTCTCATTAAAGATCCATAATAACTCTTCAACTGAATAGGCTGCTTCTTCCAGAGATCTCCAGTGCTTTCAGTGCAGCAGGGGGGCTGTGCTTTAGCTGTGTTGTTTGGAAGGTTGGTGGCAGCCTGAAAACTGCTGCCATTAGTGAGCCAGTCCACCAGGTACTTTTAAAGAGCTGCAGCTTGTCCTTTGTGGCCCTGCTGAAAGCATTTAGCTGGGAACTGGTGAGCTGATGCTACATGCTGCTCAGCGGGTGGTTCAGCTGCCCCTGAGCTATAACGGCAACTTGCTTATATTAGAAAGCCACCAGCAATAAAATGTGAGAACTTTGAGTGAAAAATACAGTGACTGACTCTTCAAACTGGTCATTCTGGCATGCGATATACCTGCCTCGTGGAAAAGACAAGGATAAAATATGTGCACGGGCAAGTCTGGTGTGTTTGCACATCCTTGTGACTGTTCTCCATTCGGACCGGTTTCCATCTTTGCAAAGAGACTCTTATGTGGTGAGAAAAGAAAGAAAGGAGCAATAAGGAAAAGGATACCTGTTAGTCTCTCAGTCAGTTCTGGCTTAGTCTTTAGTTACTACTTTTAAGTTTAGCTCTCTGAATATAGACTTAAGCTGCAGCTCCCTTTTCTCTTTCTTCCAAAAATGTACATCATGTTTAGGGCAATACCTTCTCCAACCAACAGTGAATGGTGCTGGTCAGACGTGTGGCTAACTTGGTCTCTCAGCAAAGTTAAGAAGCAAATGAACAGTCAAGAGCACACAATAAAACGTATCATATTTTTTTTGTGTTCTAATAAATGTCATTCTGATTCACTGATGTGCTGTCTATTGGCAGCAGTTACTGAGCTGATTTTATTAGATATTAACTTTGTTAGTGTATTTTTAATAAAAAATATTTGGGGTCTAAACTGTCAGGTGCTAGGGGATAGGAGGAGGGTTGTGCTGCTGTGCCAAGCTTGCACAGGAGCCAGGACACCTGCATGTCCTGCAACACATCTGAAGGGTAGAAGTGAACACAGAGTTTTATAACTTGTAATGCCATAGGCAGATCTCCTAAAATGTATCCCTGTTGGTAATAACATTGGAAATTTAAATGAAGTTCTTTAATTGACTTGGCTGAGGTTCCTGTTATGGCTTTTTGACGTTGTATTTCTGTTTGGGGGTTTGTTTGGTTTCTCTTTTCCCTAAGGCTGCTGTTCTGGACATACTGATGCATGGCGGTGAGATGGACCCAATGGCAGGACATACAGGAAAGCAGCTGCAGTAACAGGGTGTCCCTAACCTAACCTGGCCTGTCCTTTCTGCAGGCTGGCTCATTCCTAGTAGTTAGCAGTGCAGCACTTGGTACATTCAGGACAAAAACATCTTGGATCAAGAACCTGACCAAGATTCCTATTTGTTGATATGAGTATTCTTGCCTGTCTTAGACAAAATGAGTTTCTGTGCTTTTTATTAGAGGAAATGGAAATAAGGAGCTGAAGAAATGAGATGCAATGCATTATGTATTTCCCCTTCCCTCCTCTTTGCTTCTTTCTGTCGGACCATTTGACTCCAGCTCTGCCATGGCAGGCAGACAATGGCATTAGCTAATTTGGCTCCGTGTAGTGCTGAACATGAATATGAATTAGAGACGAGTGCCTGAGCTCTCATACTGACTTTTGTTTAGCTGTTAATTTGTTCCAGTGTTAATGTGCCACATGCACATAAGCCCAATTAGGTTGGGAAATGCTGCTTTTCTTTACATGGCTTCTGAAAATTGAAGCTTTATTTTATTTTGTAAGCTATTTTATTCTGGTTTCTTTTGCTCAAAATAATAGAGGAGATATAAACACATCCAGGCTTTTCAGTTCAATGGAACACTGCACTATGACCTTCTGATTCTTATAGTAAAAGTGAAAAATTACTCCAGTAAGAGTCTTATTTTGATATTTACATTTGGTAGTACCATGATTAGCAACTGCACTGGGTGTGTTGACATTTCTTTAAGGTTTTACCTTACATAAGTGTAAGCCAGAATAACTCTTATTCTGGAATAGGGATTTTTATTTCTACTTTCCATGGGTATTTTGTAGAGCTTAGCTTCTGAACTCGGTTTCAGATGCTATATTATTGTGCACTATTGATCAGCATTGATGATCCTGCTACTCCACAAAACTAAGGAAGATGTTCATCCAACATCACAGAGCTTAGAATCTAAACTTTGTATACAGATGATGCACTTGCTAAAGAAATGTTCAGAAAGTGGGGAAACTGAAGTGGAAATATACTGGGTTCTGTGGGCATTAACTTAACATTTTAACCTCATATATTTTATTTGCAGAAGTTTTGCTTCCTGATAAAGGGGTTCACATCAGTTACTTTGTTCAGAAAGAAGTCTGAGAGTCAGCATGTGAACGTTGGTTTAGAGCCCAGTGAAATTCAGTGACTTTGAAACTGCTACCTAAATGGACCTGCTAGACCTCTCAAAGCTCAGCCATCATTTCTGTCTAGTGTGGGGTAGAGTATAAAAGTCCATGTACATTGCATGAAATTTTGTTAAAGTAGGAAATAGTATGCGTCTTCTGAAGCTGAAGTTGCGAAACAGAAAAATTTAGCAGCACTAGCATACATTACTCACAAAAAGCCACTAAGTGAAACAGTACATTTAAAAGCCAACCTCCTGACTCTGCAAACTTGTGTTGAGAGAAAATAGAATGCTGGGTGATCATTAGTTTCTTGAGTTAGGAGTTCAGTTCCTGCTAAACTACAAAAGTAATGAAAACTGAAGTTTCAAGTTTAAATTTTCCTATCTAAGTGGTGTTATTTTATTTAGATTCATTTTATTTAGGCTCAGAAAAGAGCTGTTCTGGGAACTCTCCCACAGAGGTGATATAGTTCCAATGACTGATGAAGAGTAAACTGAAGTGGCGATACTCTGGGAAGGCCAGAGGGTATTGTAAATGGTCCATCACACTGAGTGTTTGGTTTTCACTATGTTCAGCCCACCCTAATGTTGTAAATGTTGAAAGACAGCATAAGCCAGAATTTCAGGCAGCAGCCAAGCCTCACATGGCTAGTTGATTAATTGCTAACATGTTATTCCACATTAAAACGTTAGGGAATTAACAAGTTTAATGGCACATAAGGAACAAAGTTTTGGCATGAGCTGCTTTATAAGCATTTACTGTGTCCTATAGAAAGCATTGAAATTACATCAATACTGGCTTTACCTATTTGAAACATATTAAAATGTTTAGGTAAGGAGTAAAATTTTCAGAGGGAGGGAAATCTTCTTCCCGTTTACCAGGACACACGTAAGCTCCTACTCACTTCCTGGGCTTGACAAATTTTGCCAACTGCAGAAATGACACAAGTAAATACTTCAGCTGTGATTGAAATTCAGGTGTGCCTGTCACATATGATTCTGCTCTCATCGCTAGGTAACACATCTTAGCATAATGGTGGGTTTGTCTGGTTTTCCCTTTAGTTCAATTTCTGAAGAAATGTGCATTTTTCCATTAGAAGGGAAATATTTGTAATATTAAAAATGAATAATGGATATCAGGTTATGTATATTTATGGTCTTTACTGATTTTTATAACCAAATTCCACCTAAATCTTTTTTGAGTTTCTGAAATATATGTCTGTTTCCAGTTCAGGTTGAATTTCTTTTCATTACCTAGTTAAAATGGTAACAGCAGCTGGTGAAGCCATAATATTTTATCCAGTGGTGCCTCTGTCACATTTAATGCCAATTATTGTATCTTAAGCAATTCACTTACATGTAATTTTACCTACAACCAGCTTATGCTCCCCTGGCTTTTAAATTCAGTATCGCTGAGCAGAATTCTAGGATTTTACATCAGACAGTGTGTCTTTCAATGGTTAAAATATTTCTAAAAAGGGTGGGAAAAAAAAATCCCTCAACAGAATGAAAAATATTTCAGATAGGGGGGTTGGACGATGTCCAGTTTCTACATTAAAAATGCTTTCCAACACCAGACGAAGCCTGAATCATAACGACTCATTTAGTACCATGTGCTCTTAGAAAAGCAAATGAGATAAGTAGTGAAATGAAATGCCCACAGATCCTGGGCATGGTGCACAAGATCAATAAAGGTGATAATGCAGAGAGGTGGGAGGACACTAAACTGGTCTGTTATTTATTTTGTCTTCCTGAATCTTTCAGAGTGCTCTATGGAAACAAGATCACAGAGATTCCCCAGGGCCTTTTTGATGATCTTGTGTCTCTGCAGCTGCTGTGAGTATGATCCCTCCCTCTTTATTTTACAGCCTAGCTTGATATACTGTTTTTTTCAGCTTCTGACATTATTATAATCACCTTTTCCACTGAAAACTCACTGGGATGTGCTAGGCTGTTGTTTCTCTGTCAGGCAAGAGGGATGCAAGGGCTCAAGAAAAAAAGGAAGGTGCCAACAGTTTTATAGCACAGTGTGCATAATGGATAATAGACACAGAGGATTTAAGTGTGGGGAGGAAATGAAGACTTGGTGAAGTCCAAGAAAGGAAATTGGGTCACCAGATGATGTGTGGATGGGGATGTTGCCTGATTGTTTTTACACCTTTAGCATTTGTGCTTGAATAGATCCTTGAGGGCTTCTGTGTCACAAGCATATGGAAGCAACATGGCAATGGGGCTTAGTTGCAACAGAAATAATTTCACAATATATTGTTTGAGTATTTTATACCATGTGTGATTTAACACACAGTCATGAGCAGGGTAAGATGTATACATACACTCTTCAGTATTTATTAATGTAGCATAACAAGTTTCCTAACCCAGATGTGAAATTGCAAATTTCATTTACTCTTGTCTCCATAATCACTTTGGGAACCAGTAACTCCTTCAAAAAGAGAGAAATCAGCTATCATTTCAGCCAGTCAATAGAGGGAGCAGAAGTGAAGTGTGGTTAATATGTGTATTGCTAACATTCTGATTGCCATCATGGATGATGCACTCAGAAAGTAAAGGTGATATAAGATAAATTCATCAGTTCTGGTTTAGACCAGAACAATAACGTTTATGAAGTAACTTTTAGACATGCCATTTTAAGCCTTTCTTACTGAGTTGACATAACCAGAAATGAATATCCAAAAGTTCATGGTTCCCGTTGAACCTATCACTCTATGCTAGCAGTCTTTGCTGCACTTACATGCCATCTAAAAATAAGCATAGGTTTCCATTAGAAATCCAGAAGCAACACCGAAGAACTGAAGCCTGGAATAGTTGCTCTATATGTTAAGGACTGCTCAGACGTGTAATTTATCCATAAGATCTTAATTGCAAATACACCCTGTTCTAGAGACAGACAAGCAAGAGTGCACCTGGTTCGATTATGACAACCCTTGAGCTTGGAAGCTGTTTATCTCCTCCTGCACACAGCCAGTTCACTTGTCTTCACCTTTTGCACATACTTTTTCTGGCAGCTTCTTTCTTCTCCCTGTCCCACCCCTCACCAGTTCATTGTACTTCAGTGTCTTTGTGGCCAGCCTGTGCAGTAAATGAACACTGTGTATTTAGTGGGGAAGTACTTTGCCCTGTGAGAGAACAATAAGCTTGAAAGTCCTTCAAAGCTGGGACTTGGTACATGCTGATATAAGTGACATGTTAGTCATTGTCAGACTCAGATTGTACTCAGTACAGTGAAGATGATGCAACCAAAATGAGAGCTAAAATTTAACTTGTCACTTTGACCTCTGAGAAAGAAACTATGTTAGAGAAATCTGAGCTTTATTATAGTCTTTGCCCCCAAATATTTAATGGTTGCAAGGTCAGAGCGATACACAGTTGCTCTGTCTAACCCTGGACACTTAACAGATAGGACCTTTCCCAGTGGAAAAAGAAACATACACAGCATGTGGCTCATGGTGTCCTATAAAAATGTGGGTCTAGAACTTTTGCATAAAGCATTAAGCCAGTTTCAACTTCTTTATATCATAGTCTTTGCATGAACATAGTGCTGGCTTTCAGCTTTTACATGTTTAAGCTAAGATGCAGTCATTTTCCAATTTGAATTAGCAAAATATATATGCCAGAGAGCCATTAAAAGGTGTTGTACTTCAACCTTTTAAACATTCTCAAGCTGAGCATATGAACATGTGAGTAGGTTGTCTATTATGGGATTCCAAGAGTATTGTGGCTCTAGAACCTTTCCGGATCTTCTTGAAAGTGTTTGAAGTAGCTTTTGGCAAGGAAAGCGATGAATGATCACGCTTTAAATGCAAACAAATCTCTGCACACGTTTCCAGCCATGGCTTTGAAGCAGCTATTATGGATTGCTTGTAGCATTTTAATGGATACCAGAAAAAAATAAATGGCATTCGTTGGTTTTAGACCTGCTGTTGAACAGTTGGAAGGGTGCCCTATGATTAGATGTAATTTAGTGTTCAGTGGGCTCTAGATTGGATTTCTTCTTATTAGTCTGGAGACACACTGATAAGAATGCTCTGATTAAGGTACCCTGGTAGCCAGTCTAATTTCCTAAACTGAAGCATTTCTGAAAGTGCGCTGGTGTTATGGTAAAGCAGGACACAATCAGCAAAGGGATTATTGTGGTCCTCTATAAAATCGTTCAGATTGTATTTAGAAGGAAAAAGTAATTACTAAGAAATTGCAGAGCAGTAATATTGTTATTTACTGGTTTGGATAAGACTCATCAGAGTTTCTCAGAAATGTCATTTTCCTTCTGTTTAAATATCCTGTATAGGTCCAGATTATTCCACTTTTATTCTGACAGAATTGGTTTGTGTAAGTGCCTTACATCTGCAGACAGTATCACTGATGTCAGAAACACTGCAGCTGGGCAAAGTAATGCTCAGCTCAGGCATGACAGCATCTTCAGCTGCCCCATTTGGCTCTGGTGTCTGGGAAATTAAGAAATCCGAACAAGTTTTAGACCACCTGGCTAGCATTAGAATTCTGTATTTCTGACATTTAAGACAGAGGTGGGTAAGCCAATATTGTATTATATTTGGCAAGAAACTAGCCAGGCATGGTTAGATAATGAAGTTTTTTTGGTGGAAGGTGGGGGGTGTTTATGTTGGTTTGTTGTTATTTTTTTGATCCCCATGGGTTTGATTTAAAATGTTGTTTCTGAAATCTTCATTACAATTAGCTATCTTAAGTAGTTAATAGTCCTCAAATAAATAGTTATGATTGGATTTCTGTTAATTTGCTGATTTCATAAATCTTATGCTTTCTATGTCTGCAATTGTAACCATCACAGCAGCAAGCATTGTTACAGAAGTCCAACTACATGTCTGTTCTGGGGAACAGCAGCTTAGATATAAGGAAGTTCTTTACCGTGAGGGTGGTGAGGCACTGCAATGGGTTGCTCAAGGAAGCTGTGAATGCTCCATCCCTGGCAGCGTTCAAGGCCAGGTTGGATGGAGTCTTGGGTGACATGGTTTAGTGCGAGGCATCCCTGCCCATGACAGGGGGTTGGAACTGGGTGATCTTAAGGTCCTTTCCAACCCAAACCATTTTGTGATTCTATGATTTTATGTCATTCTCCTTATCTCCTGTTTGAAGTTGCCAGGAGAGAGGCTACTAGGAAGCTACCGTAACTGCTCTAACCTAGCCTCATACATTCTTCTGTTCAGCAGGTTGGATCAAGTGTCTTCTGAGAATTTCAGGTCTGTTTGGGGTTTAGGGAACTGCACTGTTTTCCAGAAAGGGGTAATTGGAGTCTGATTTTTGGTTTGTTTTTTTTTTTACAGTAAAGTGAAACTCATTTCACTGGGCCCACAATCCATCCAAGATGTGACATAGTATTTGATTAATTATCATCTTGTGTATAACTTGCATTTAAATATCAAAAGAATGAAAAGGGCTCCAGTGTAAGGTGGAAGTTTTCAAGTAACCATTAGATGTGGCCAGTTTGAACTCCTGCCCAGGAGGCTTTTGACTAACCTTGATCTGCCTAGAAACTGGACTATATTTAAAAGTCATTCTCTCCTGTCTTTCATTTTTCCTGGAATGTGGACAAGTTCTTTCAGGAGCCCTTGAGTTTGCCAGACCTCCGCCAGTCACTGCGCAGGGGACACCACATCACACTGTGTAACTCCTTTCTCAGCAGCCCTGTGACAGATAAAGCTGACGGGTGCCCTGCTTGCTCCCAGATGAGCAAATACGCGGAGCCAGCCTGCTGTGAAACAGGAGTTAAGTGGCTCAGGACAGCGAGCTGTGGATAATGGGCACAAAGTTGGTTAACAGACTTTTTCATATCTAAGTAATAGACCTTCCTCTCTGCAACCATATTAAAACAAACATTCTGGGAGCCTTTTTATTATGGTTATACACTGTATGCTTCACAGTGCTCTGTTTTCTGGAACAAGGGAGTATCATAAAATCTGTACTGTTTAAAGAGATTGTATAGCAGAATAATGTAGGGGGATGAAACCTCATTTTTCTAATATGTGGCAAGTATCAGTTTTCAATAAATCCTTTTCCTTGAGGAAATTTACTTTGCATAGTTACTGATCATACAAGTGCTCAGGTGTGTTGATTCTAAGGCTTATGGTTGAGATCCCCATGGCTCGCTGGGCAAGAGAGAATCCCCATAGTGGACTCCATTTTGATGTTGCTAGAAGTAGATACACTCTTGGGATACATATATATTAAAATGAGAGGTTTGTTGTATTCCTCTCTCATAAAACAAAGCCAAGGCTTACAGCCTTCTCCTCTTTTCCCTAATGTCTGATCATTAGGGAAAACTCAACAGTGTAGTTGGAAAAGACCAATGATCATATTAGTGCCTGAAGTCTGACATGTTAACAGGCAAAATAACTTTGAAAGGGGTGAAAAATTAGACCTCCAGATCCAAGCATCTAACCTGGTTTAAAATTGGAGCTAGATCTCATATTTACAACTCCAGCTGACCTTTGTTTAAAATAGACTAATATGAAGTGGCAAGTCATGGATGTACTGTCAGGAACTGCTATTACCAGTGTTCCCAAAATTAAACCAGTGAAATCTTGCTTTGAGCAGTTCTTTTTAACCTGCTTTTTAGGCTGTTTCTCCTTGGATGAACAGCTTGATTCTTGGTGCTCCCATAGCTCTTCTGGAGAGGTTGCTTGGAAAATGTCTCCATGGCAAATTTGTCAAGTTTGAAGTGCTTGTGTTGAATTGTAATTGTGAGTTGAATCCCAGTACTTAAGAGCTTAAAATAGAATCTACCAGTTATTAATTGTATACTTTTGGAGCTTGTTAGAAGCTCAAAGAAAATCCCGTGAAGCACA